GCCTCCCAAGTAGCTGGGATTACAGGCGTGAGCCACCATGCCCAGCCAATTTTTGTATTTTTAATAGAGATGGGGTTTCACCATGTTGGCCAAGCTGGTCTCGAACTCCTGACCTCATGATCTGCCCACCTTGGCCTCCCAGAGTGCTGGGATTACAGGCGTGAGCCACCGCGCCCGGCCCAGAACTCTTTACTTCTTTCCTTTTCTTTTTTTTGAGATGGGGGTCTCACTCTGTCTCACAGGCTGGAGTACTGTGACAACATCATAGCTCATGGGAGCCTCAAACTCCTGGGGTCAAGTGATCTTCCCTCCTTAGCCTCCCGAGTAGCTGAAACTAAAGGTGTTCACCTGGCTGGCCTGCCTTCCTTCCTTCCTTCCTTCCTTCCTTCCTTCCTTTCTTCTTCCTTCCTCCCTCCCTTCCTTCCTCCCTCCCTTCTCTCTCTCTCCCCCTTCCTCCTTTCTCTCTCTCTCTCCCTTCCTTCCTTCCCTCTTCCTTTCCTCCCTTCTTTCCTCTCTTTCTTTTCTTTCTTTTTTTTTTTTTGTAGATATGGGATCTTGCTTTCTTGCCCAGCCTGTTCTGAACTCTTGGTTTCAAGCAATCCTCCCACCTGAGCCTCCTGAAGCACTAGGATTACAGGCATGTGCCAGCATGCTCAGCCTAGTTCCAGAACTTTTTCATCAGCCCAAACAACCCTAAGCCCATTAGCAGTCATTCCCCCACTCCCTTCTATCCCTGGCCCAAGTCAGCTAATAATCAGCTTTCTGTCTCTATGAATTCACCTATTCTGGACATTTCATATCAGTGGAAGCATACAACATGTGTTCCTTTGTGGCTAACTTCTTAAATTTGCATAAAAGTTTTCCTCCTCCCCCACAAAGGATATTGCCCCACCTTTTTAAAAACCGAGAGATGGTCTTTCTCTGTCGCCCAGGCAGGAGTGCATTGGCACAATCATAGCTCACTGCAACCACCACCTCTGGGGTTCAAGAGATTCTCCCGCCTCAGTCTCCCAGATAGCTGAGACTACAGGCATGCACCACCACACTGGGTTAATTTTTGTTTTTTTGGTAGAGATGGGGTCTTGCCATGTTGTCCAGGGTGGTCTTGAACTCCTGGGCTCAGATGACCAGCCCACCTCGGTCTCCTAAAGCACTGGGATTACAGGCGTGAGCCACCACCCGTGGCCAGCACAATGCTTCTAAGGTTCATCCGTGCCGTAGCATGAGTCAGTGCTTCATTCCTTTCTGTGGCTGAATGGTATTCCATTTCATGAGTGCAGTCATCCCTCGGTGTCCACAGGGGATTGGTTCCAGGACTGTCCTCGGATTCCAAATCCCTGAGTGATGGAGTCCCTTACAGCCTCCTATCTAAGGGTACAGAACCCACGGATGTGGAGGGCCGCTGTCGCCTACATTTTCTTTATCCATTCATTTGTTGATGGACATTGGGGTTGCATCTATCTTTGGGCTATTGTGGATAGTGTTGTTAAAAACATTTGTGTATAAATTTTTGTTTGAACAGCTGTTGTTAATTCTTTTGGATATATATCAAGGATGTGTGTGCTATTTTATCATCTATATTTTGAAGGTTTGAAAGATAGAGGAGGAGAAGTGGGGGAGGAGAAATAATAATGAATTCAGGAATGGAGGTGATAGAAAAGAAACGTTAAGCAGAGAGCACAGCACATGGAAGGGGGTTTGGTCTCTGCTTCCCCAGCACGTGGCGAGGGATGGGGCTGGGGGTCTCGTATTAAGGCCATAAAGGAGGCCAGTATGCTGGTGAGCGGCCAGAGCTGCACCCAGCGACCGTGCCGGGCCTCCGAGTCCAGGCTAAGCTTGGACTCATTCCAAGTGCACTGAGAAGCCATTGAAAAGGTTTTAGAGTCACATGATCCGATTAGTGTTTTAGAGAAATTCCTGTGGGACCCGCGTGCAGGCTGGGCCGGATGCGGGGGAGACCGAGGTGGGGAGCCGGGAGGAGGCGGGGCTCGCGCCCAGGTGCTAGAGGGGGTCTGGGCCCCACGACCTCCGGCTGGGAAGGTGGCTCCCTGGGCCGGGGGCGGGGCTTGTCGCTGATTGGCTGAGGGCTGGACTCAGGCTGCCAATCCCACTGTTTCCCCCTTCTCATTGGCTCTCCTGCTTCCAGCCCCCCTCCCTCCCGTCCAGCCTCCAGCACCCAGAAATCACATCCTCTCACTCTTGAGCCCAACACCCTCGTGTCCATGGCTCCCCATCTCCCTTGGAATAAAATCCAAAGCTTCCCTTCTGACCCCTACGCCCACTCCCGCCCCCAAGGCTCTGCCTGCCTGGACCCGGGGCCCCCTCCCTCCCTTCCTACCTCTCTCTCCGCGTCGCACCGCCCTCTGCGCTCTGAAGGGACTCAGGGCCTTTGCACGTGGGGTTGCCCGGGCCTGGAACGCTCTGCCGAGGTTTCCATCCAGCTTCTTACGTCCCTTGCTCCTCCAACTCCCTGGAGACACCTGTCTTGTCCACCCAAGCTAAAATAGCCTCCTGTCACCCTCTAGCCCTCACTCTGCCTTAATTTTCTTTCTTTTCTTTTTTCTCTTTCTCACTCTTTCTTTCTTGTCAGGGGTTATTTTATTTTATTTTATTTATTGTTAGAGTCTTGCTCTGTTGCCCAGGCTGGAGTCAATGGCATGATCTCAGCTCACTGCAACCTCCATCTTCTGGGCTCAAGCAATTCTTCTGCCTCAGCCTCCCGAGTAGCTGGGACTACACGACGCGCAGCTAGGTTTGTTTGTTTGTTTTGTATTTTTAGTAGAGACAAGGTTTCGCCATGTTGGCCAGGCTGGTCTCGAACTCCTGACCTCAAGTGATCCGCCCACGTCGGCCTCCCAAAGTGCTGGCATTACAGGCGTGAGCCACCAAGCCCGGCCTTTAATTTTCAACATGATACGTATCACGAACACACGCTAGGCAACATGTGAATGTCCAATGGATTGCCTATCTCCCCTCCCACTAGAATAAAAACTCCACGAGGGCAGGGGCTTGTTTTGCCTGTCTGCTTAACGGCTCTGCCCACAGGTGGCTGCCCGGGACAGACAAGTGGCTTAACAAGCATTTGTGGATGTATAAAAAGGGATGAAGGGCGGGGAGGAGTCAGGGGGACTTGGGCTTCGATACTGAGATGTGAGGCCGTCCCTGAAAGGAAGCAGGCTTGGTGGGCCGAGGGAAACGCCAGCTCAGCTCCAAGGTCCGCACGCAGGAATCAGCTTGCCAAACACAGGCGTGGGAGTTGCCGGCCTCTGGCTTGTAATTAATGCTTTGTAGCGGTTGAAATCGTCCTCAGGGTAAAATTCCCGCTCCGGTCCCCTCCTCGCCCCCAGCCTCAATCAGCGCATCTATAAAATGGGGCCACCATGTGACGCGTTAGGTACAGCGTCCAGCCCAGCACCGGGCACTTGTGAGACACCCAGGAGATGGGATGAGTCCCTCTCGTTACTGCCTCAGAAGAGAAAGGATTGCGGTGCAGGTGAAGTGGGTGGGAACCTCAGCCTCGCGAAGTCCCTATTCTTTACTCCCTAGCTGGGGGCCATCTCCATGGCAACGCTGGCGCCTTTCCATTGCGCATCTCCCGAGCTGAACCTGTCTCTAAGCCCATCTCGCAGTGGGCGGGTCTTGTCCCTGGGGGCGGTGCCTGCTTCGAAGGGGGCGGGTCTTGTTTCTCGACGGGAGATATATATTTTTTTTAATTTAAGACGGAGTTTCGCTCTTGTTGCGCAGACTGGCGTACAATGGCGCGATCTCGGCTCACCACAACCTCTGCCTCCCGGGTTCAAGTGATTCACCTGCCTCAGCCTCCCAGGTAGCTAGGATTACAGGCATACACCACTATGACCGGCTAATTTTGTATTTTTAGTAGAGACGGGGGTTTCTCCATGGTGATCAGGTTGGTCTCGAACTCTTGGACTCAAGAAATCCTCCTGCATTGGCCTCCCAAAGTGCTGGGATCATAGTTCACTGCAACCTGGACCTCCTGAGCTTAAGTAATCCTCCCAGCTCAGCCTCCTGAGTAACTGGGACTACAGGCATGTGTCACCACACCCGGAATTTTTTTTTTTTTTTTTTTTGTGTAGACAGAATCTCAATATATTGCCCAGGTTGGTCTCTAATTCCTGAGCTCAAGCTATCCTCCTGCCTCAGCCTCCCAAACTGTTGGGATTACAGACATGAGCCAACTTGCCTTGCCTAAAATATTTTGTGAAATATAAGACACACAGATTTTTTAAAAACGCACATACTGGCTTGTTTGCAACAACAAAAAATAGCTGTGCACCTCATACTGGCTTGTTTGCAAAAAAACGTGTAATACAAACACACAATTGAATAAATAATTATCCATGATCATCAGATTAAGTACTAGAATTTTGTCAACTATAAGCAACCCTGGAAACTTTAAGGATATCCCCTCCCGCTTAACTCGTCCAGCCCACTATTCTGAGTTTTATAGGACAATGTTGTCCTTGCTTTTTTGTATGGTTTACTATGTACTGACAATGTATCCTAAACAATAAATTACCGTTTAGTTTTACTTGCATTAGAATGTGTTTGTTTTTGTTTTGGAGACAGGATCTGCCTCTGTCGCCCAGGTTGTAGTGCAGTGGCATGATCTTGGCTCACTGCAACCTCCGCCCCCCCGCCCCCTGTCATGCTCCAGCGATCCTCCGGTCTCAGCCTCCCCCGAGTAGCTGCAACTACAGGCACAGGCCACCACACCTGGCTATATTTTGTATTTTCACTAAAAACGGGGGTCTCGCCATGTTGCCCAGGCTGGTCTTGAACTCCTCAACTCAAGCAATCCTCCTGCCTTGGTCTCCCAAAGTGCTTGGATTATAGGTGACTCTAATTTTAAAGGTCTTGTCCTACTTGAAGCTTTGAAACTTCTCAGGAGAAAAGGAAGACCTGTCTGTATTTAGGGGGTCTGCCCTAAGAGATTCCCCATCCTCCTTGGAGCCAAGGATCAGAAAACCAGGCGGTAGTGACTGACAGAACAAGGTTTATTGGGGGTCCTGGAGACACTGGGGAGAGGGACGAGGCGATGAGGTCGAGGCTCATGGGGGACCTCCTAGCCAACTGTCCCCACAGAAGACAGAGACAGACAAACCAATAGAGATGGAGAGAAAGACCAACAGCTGCTATGGTAGTGGGGGAGGGAAACCCTAGTGTCTGCCACCTCCCACTCAGATGAGTTCACAGGATAAAGAATGGCGTGGACCGGTACACTCGCTACAGGAAAAGGGAGGAGTGTCTGCCCTATTCACTCTAAGGGAGGTGGGGTACAGGCCACCGCTTGGACCAGCCCATTCCATGTCATGGGGGTGTGTGTGCATATAGATCAGTCCATCCTACTGGGCAAAGTGATTCAGGACAGTCTATTCTAGTGTTTTGGGTGGGGAAGATCATTAGGGTCGATCAATTCCACAGTCGGCGGGGGCGGGGGGGTGGTTTGAGGGCAGGGGCATCTACCCTGGTCCCTCTTTCAGCACAGGGAATGACAAGGGGGAAAGGCAGATTTCGGCTATATTCATTTTCTGGGGGTCACCAGTGACTCTGGTGGGTAGCATTTGGAGAGGATCTAGGAAAATTCAGGGACATGGTCCCTCCACATTCTCCAGATCACGGTGGTTGGGAATGATGGCTCTCAGGGAATGGGGCAGCCTTCCCTTTGTGGGGGTACCCATCTTTTATTATTAGGGCCCTCAAGATGAGAGGTACTTAGGAGACCCATTGCTCGCTGCAAAGTCTCCATGTCTTGGGGACTTAGGGTTACCCACACTCATTCCAGGGACCTCAGGCTCAGGAGTCTCTCTCCCTAGATTCAGGCTCCCCTGCCCCAGCTAAGGACCCTGTTTGTTTGTGGTCCCCTAGCTCTGGGGCCTGTGTGGGTTTTTGGTGGTCTCCACCTCTCCAGCCAGGGTCCCCTCATTTCAGGGCCTGCGTCTGGATTTGGAGGGCCGGGGCCTCACTCGCAGTCCCAAGGTCCCCGGGTCCAGGTGGCTGGGCAGAGGGCAGGGAGCGGCCTGGGGTCAGTCCATGCCCCGGTGCAGCTTCAGGTGCCTGGAGAGGTTGCTGAGCGTGATGAACCCCTTGCCGCAGATATGGCAGGGGAAGGGCCGCTCGGTGCCGTGCAGCAGCCGGTGGCGCTTGAGGTAGCACTCGTGGCGGAAAAACTTGCCGCACTCCAGGCACGGGAACGGCTTCTCGCCCGTGTGCACCAGCACGTGCCGCTCCAGGTCGCGCGGCGAGCGGAACAGCTTCTCGCACTCAGAGCAGCCGAAGATCTTCTTGCCGCGGCCCGAGCCAGAAGCAGGCTCCCCGGACGCCGGCTCTCCCTCCCGGGCCGCAGCCGCCGCCTCCTCCCCGCCGCCCTCGCCGTGGCTGACCCGCCTGTGCTCCTCCAAGGCGGCCAGCGCCGCGTACAAGGCCCCGCAGTGGCCGCAGCCGTAGGTGGCCGGGCCCGAGTGGGCCTCCAGGTGGCTGGCCAGGGCCGCGGCCGACGCAAAGAAGGTCCCGCAGTCGCACTGGTACAGGGTGTCTTCTGAGGGCTCGGCGGCAGCCGCGGGCGCAGGTGCCTCCCCGCTGCCCTCGGGGAGCAGCCCCCCGAGCTTGGGCACCCCGCCCCCCGCGGGGCCCAGGAGCAGCAGGCCGTCCGAAGCCGAAGCAGGAGGAGAGTCGCCGACCTCCGCAGCGCCGCCTTCGCCCGCTGCCATCTCGGGCCCCACGCCTGCCCCAGGGGCCCAGGCCTGCGCGGGGGGCGCGCCCGGGCCCTGTAAGTCGTGCGTCAGCTTGTGCCGCTCCAGCAGCGCGGGCGCGTTGAAGTCGCGCTCGCAGCGCGGGCACTTGAAGGGCTTCACGTCGGTGTGCGCGGCCCAGTGGGCAGCCAGCTCGCGGCCGTGGTCGAAGCGCCGCGCACAGGCACCGCACGCAAACGGGGGCAGCGAGGCCGCGGCCGCAGCTGCCGCCTCAGCCAGCCCCCAGCTGCCCAGGCCCGCGCCCACCCCCTCCGGGCCCTCTCCGCCGCCAGCCCCCGCGCCCCCGCACACCGAGCAGGGCCCTACATTGCAGCAGACGGAGCAGGGCGCGCTCAGGGCGGGCAGGCCAGGGCCGGGCTGCAGGGGAGAGGGGAGGACCCCGCGGTGCTGGCGCTTCAGGTGGCGGCCCAGGCTGGAGCGTGAGGAGAAGCGGAGCTCGCATACCAGGCAGCAGTAGGGCTTCTCGCCGGTGTGGACAACCTGGGGGTGCGGAAGGAAGGGCACAAAGTCAGGGCTGAGAACCTGGCCCGGACGGCGGATTCCTGGACTCCGGGAGGGATGTGGCACAAGCTCTCTGTCACACCTACAGGGCCGAGATCTAGGGAAACGCTCGTCTTACCACTCTCTGCTGTGGGTCACACTGGAATTCTGTCAGTCCTCAAAAAGGCTACATCCTGGCTGGGTGCTGTGGCTCACACCTGTTATCCCAGCACTCTGGGATTGCATAAGCCTAGGAGTTTGAGACCAGCCCAGGCAACACAGGGAAACCTTGTCTCTGCAAATAATTTTAAAAACTAGCTGGGCACAGCATGATCCTGTGGTCCCAGCTACCCCGGAGGCTGAGCCAAGGAGATCACGGCAGTAAGCCTGCACGACAGAGTGAGACTGTGTCAAAAAACAAAAAACCCCAAACAAACAAAAAACCAAAAAACCCCACCAGGAGCAGTGGCTCACGTCTGTGATCACAGCACTTTGGGAGGCCGAGGTGGGTGGATCATTTGCGGTCAGGAGTTCGAGACCAGCCTGGCCAATGTGGTGAAACCCTGCCTTTACTACAAATACAAAAATTACCCCAGCGTACTGGTGGGTATCTATAATCCCAGCTATTCAGGAGGCTGAGGCAGGAGACTCCCTTAAATCCGGGAGGTGGAGGTTGCAGTTGGCAACCTCACACCATTCACAACATCACAGAGATCACACCACTGCACTCTAGCCTGGGTGACAGAGTGAGACTCTGTCTCAAAAGAGAAAAAAAAAAAAAAAGGAAATCACTACCTGTGGCTAATGGCTACATACTGGACAGTGCAGCTCTAAAGAGACAGCAGCCAGCCGTGGTAGGGTGTGTCTTCTCCCTTCTGGAACCCTGCTATCCTGAGCCAGTTGTCAGGGCTGAATACAGCCCTCGGGTGTACTAGGGCAGAGAAGTGATTTTGAACCAAATCCGGCTACTGCTCAGTCTCTCCCTTGACCACTTTTCACACACAGAGATCCAGAGAATCACTTCCAAATCTAGGGAATCAAACCTCCCAGGAGGCAGTCCAGGAATCTGTATTTCCTCTGAGGCATAGCCAGGCTTGTAGACTATGTAAAACTGTGCCTTAGAGAGGTTTTTTTTTTTTTTTTTTTAAATTGATATTTGTCCTTGTTGTTGACTTAAGAGTTTGGAATGGCAGAGAGAGATTTGTGGGTGTGGTAATGTCTTCCTGGAGACCTGTGAGGAGAAGGGTGAGGCTGGATGAGAAAGCGTGCAGTGCTTGTTAGCAATGTTCGTCAGGGGCACAGACCAGAAGAAGGAACAGGGAGTGTTGTTCATTTGCCTTTCTGGCTCCAGATGCAATGCACCTGCTGTACAGGGAGGGTGTAGGGATCTCTATCCTCTATGTCAGTAAATTTATTTTCTCGATACTCTTTATAACACAACAAGGTTATGCTTGTCCCAGGGCCCCTGTGCCTGCTGTTCTCACTGCCTGGAATGCCCGTAGGTCTATGTATCTGTCAGCTCCTTGGAAACCCTGAAACCCTTCCCTGAATCTGGCCCCCTGGCTCATCAGTAATCCTCTTCCACCCTCCTCTTTTAAAACCTATGGCTCATAGCACATTTAGTGTCTACGTATAACCTGAGTGTTGTCTGTCTCCCCACCAGCTAAGGACAATCAAAACAGCGACCACGCTGGTTTTGCTCACAGCTGTATTTCCAGGGTCCAGCATTCTCCAGCCTTCTCCTGAGCTGCAATCTTTCTGCTTCTCTGTGCTCCAGTCACACTGGCCTTCCTCCAGTTCCTCAAAAGCCCACTTTTCTTCCTTGAAAGTACACATCCTGTTCCCTGGATCCAGAAAGCCTCAGTCCCCAGGGGCACATCATTCCTCACGTGTAAACCATCCTTGACCCCATCCCTGATCCAGGCTGCTTCAGATCTCTCTTGCATTAGCCTCAGAACATGGTTACCCTCCATCCTCAGATGTCTCGGCTGCAACCTAGCATTGATTAACCTGGTTGTTCAGTTCACATCTCCCACATTTGACTTGAGGCCATACAAAGGGTGGATTGTATCTGTTTTGTTCCCTTAGATTTTTTTTGCCCCACAGAGCCCAGCACTGTACCTAAACAACCTACTGGTGCGTGGAGGTGAGGCCTCAGGGGGCTGTGAATTGTTGCATTAAGGAGTTCCCCTTTCATCCCAAGGATCAGGGGATTAAGCAGGGGGTACCTGGTCACTCTGTGATAGATGCAGAAGCTGGACCTGAGGGAGAAAGGCAAGAGAAAGGAAACCCCTGAGAAAGCTGGGGCCAACATTCAGGATGTGAGCTCCTGAACCAAGGCAGATGCACGGGGACAGAGAGGACAGCCACGTGTGAAAGACCATAAGGAGATGTCCAGTTTTCTTCACCCTGGTCGTGCAAGTGTCTGGCACATAGAGTATGACCTAGCTCGCCACATCTTACACCTCCTTCCACCCAAACCCCACAGGCTCCCATCGCTTCCTGGAACACAGCACACTCCTTCCTTCCTCAGGGCCTTTGCACTTGCTGCCCACTGCCTGCAGTGCTCTTCCCACAGAGGATTCCTTACACTGCAGGTCTCAGCTGAACCATCACCTGCCCTAACCTTCCCTGCCCTGTCTGAAGTAGCCCAAAGCTCTCCTCTCTTTACTCCCACACATTGATTTGTATTTTTTGTTTGTTTGTTTTGAGGCTGAGTCCTGCTCTGTTGCCCTCTGAGGCTGGAATGCAGTGGTGCAACCTCCACCTCCCAGGTTCAGGCGATTCTCCTTGTCTCAGCCTCCCAAGTAGCTGGGTTTACAGGTGCATGCCACCACACCAGGCTAATTTTTGTATTTTTAGTAGAGATGGGATTTTGCCACATTGGTCAGGCTGGTCTCAAACTCCTAACCTCAGGTGATCCACCCACCTCTGCCTCCCAAAGTGCTTGGATTACAGGCGTGAGCCACCACGCTCAGCCAATATTTTGTTCCTTAAAATTTCCTTCTCGACACTCATCTTTTCCCAGAATATTCTTGCCTGCATCCTTGCTTTATTGCTTCTCGTCTACCTGGCTACTGACCACCTCTAAAGGAAAGTTTAGTTCTCTGAAGGCATGGAATTTGCTTTTACCTTGGCAACACAGCTGTTTGGTGCAGGGAGAGCTGATAGTCACTGAATAAAGGAATTAAGTATATACCTGATAAACCTATTTTTTAAGATGGTAAGGAATGAAAGGATAAACACTACATTGCAGATGCTGGTGCGTGGGTTCCAGGTACTGGCAGGGAGAAGGGGAGGGGAGGAGCCTATAGGTGGGGAAATGTACGATGAATGTTCCAGCTCATGGGTTGGTGGTGATTGAATGAGACCCATCGCATGCTTTCATGGGTCAGGGTGCTTTGGTGGGGAGGGAGAGAGGGACATTTTTTAGGGAGGAGGCAGGCGCCTGGGCCTTGGGCAAGCTTCAGCTTCCTTTTGCCCAGAGTACAGTGGGCGCAGGATCCCAGCGCATTCCAGACCAGACCAGGAAGGCCAGCCTGGGGCCGGCCTGTGGGACTCACCTGGTGGTGCAGCAGGCCGGTGGAGTCGCGGAACCCCTTGGGGCAGGCGGAGCAGCGGTAGGGCCGCTCCCCGGTGTGCGAGCGCAGGTGGTTGGCTAGGTTGAAGCTATGCTTGAAGCCCTTGCCACAGCGCGGACACGCGTGGGGCTTGAGCGCTGTGTGTCGGGCGAAGTGGCGCCGGAGGTCTGAGCGGTAGCGAAAGCTCTTGCCACATTCACTGCAGTGAAACGGGACCCGGGGGGCGGCAGCAGCGGGCGGTGCTGGTGAGGGGGTTGGGGTTGGGGCTGGGACGTCATCCATTGTGGCAGGGAATATAGTGGTGCGTGTGGGCTCTCTCTGGAGTAGGGGGAGACAGAGGAGCAGGTGAGGGGGTCGGCTCCCATCAGCCCTCTCTTCCCAGGTTCCAGACTCACCACCTATTCCCTGGGAGATCCTCCCACTGCCCACCTCTATAAGACACTCTCATTTTTCTTTAAAATCCTCCTACTCTCTTAGAAACCCTTCTTCCTCTGCTCCACTCCTCTGGCAACCTTCCTAATCACTTCCCTGTCTCCTTACTCCACAGAGCGTTTTCAGGCTTCTCCCACTCTTCACGAATGCACGGCTGCTCCTCTCTGTGCCCCTCTTGCAGTAATTTAAGCCTCTCCCACTCTTCCTTAAGTCCTGCTTACTCCCTTGAAAGTCCCCCACACGGATCCCTATGCATCTTTTATTCTTTGCCAAGCCCTTTTCCCTCCAAAAGGCCCTCCCACTCCCCTCTAAGCTCCTCCCACTCCTCTTCCTGGATGATCACTGAGCGAATAGGACGACAGTGAATGGGAGGACAAAGATTTGGGGCTAAGCACACTAGAGACATCCTTCCCGGAAGACCAACACCAGTCCTCTAACATCAGATAATAAAAACTCTTCATCTGCAAAATGGGAATACTAGTAGTACCTACCTCACAGAGTGGTGGCAAGAATTAAGTAAAATTGTGGCAATAAATGCTACGTGCCTACTTAAGTTGGTGGGCAGCAAAGACGCAAAGAGTAAGCTGTTTGGATGATTATCCCGTAAGTGCCTCCTGGTTTTCTCCCCAAGTCCTACCATGCTTGCTAAGTTATTTGACTTCTCCAAGCACCTCTCTTTTCCACTAAGACCCACTTCCAAAACTCCAGCCAATTTTTCTTTTAAAGAAGCCACATCCTGTCTAAGGCTCTCCACTGGACTCCTGTCACCTTCTCATAACTTCTCCACGAAGTCTCTTCCCATTCCCTGCAAGCCCTTTCTACATTCATTATAAAGACCTGGTAGTTGCACTAAACCCCTCCAAACTACACCCCTAAACTCCGCCCTCCTCGCTAGGCCTACCTACTGCTCTAAACGACACCCCAGACAAACTCCTCCCTCCTGCTTCTTGGGATCCCTTTCCCCAACCAGCCTCAATGAATTGCCTTCTACCCCTCAACCGAGGGCCCACCCACCATTCTTTATGAGCCACGCCCCTTAATCAAACCCCACCCCTTTTGACTAAGCCCCTCCCACTTTCCACCCACGCACTTTCCCCTCCTCCACGCCCCACCCACTTCCACTCTAAGCTCCGCCCAGATCAGGCTCCGCCCCAGCACCCCCTAGGCCCCGCCTCCTCCTCCACCCCGCAGCCTGCCGAGTGGGCCCCCCCCACGCCCAGTCCACTCCAGGCCCCAGGCCCCGAGAGCCGGCCTTTTGTGCCCCTCCCCCTGCCCCTAAAAGGTGCGGCCTTGGGAGCCCGAGGTGGGGGCAAGTCGGGCGGGCCCCGGGGCCAGGCGAGTCCACGTCGCTCATACGGAGCGTAGCTCCTGGAGACCCTGGGGGGCCCCGGGAGGCCTGGGAAGTCCGTTGGCTTTCCTCTTTAATTACTTACACCTCCCTCTGGGCGCCGACATTTTGGGCAGCGGGGGTAGCGTCACTTCCACCCGGGGTGCCCGTCGACTTCCGCCTCAGCTCCCTTCCCCCGCCGTACTCCCCCTTTCTCCCGCCCTCTTGGCTCCCCTTCCTCATCCCCGCCCTTTTCCCTCTTTCCCTTTCCTTTCCCAGCCCTGGAGGTTGGAGAAGCCAGGCCCGCGCCATCTTCGGTGAGGGCAACGAGAAGGGGCGGGGCTTAGAGACACCCACGACGCCATACAGACTAAGGGCAAGCAGGTCAGAGCGCGGCGTTTCCTTCGTGGCGACCCTAGCTGAAGCTAACGTAAATGAAAGCAGATAGTATTCCTTTTTCTGAGCCGCGGACCCCTCCTGATTAGCATGTACAGTTGCACTAGGAAAAAAAAGAAAGCGAAGTGCGTCAACTGCAATACACTGCTGGAAAAGACCGGCAACCATCTTATCCACTTAGCCCTCCATGGGGCTTTGAAGCCTGTACGGTGCCATGTTGATTACGGGCACCGGGCAGCCATTTTCCCGCTCCTCTTCGTTCTGTATGTCTTTGATTGGTTTCACCCGAGTATGTGTTTTGTGAGAGAAAAGGCGTTTCGAGGCCGTTGGAGATATGGTGCTGGATTATTTCCCACTGGGAACACAGGCCGCTGGTGCGCACGCGCGGCTTGCGGGCGTGTCCGTGACCGGTCCTTAGGACCCAGCGTGTCCCCTTTGTTTCCCACGGGCGCGCGGGCGGGCGGAGAGGGCAGGAAGGGAGGGGCCCCGGCGCTGCTCCGAGGGGCGGGGCCGGCACCGCGCGCCGCCGCCCCCGCCCCGCCGCCGCTGAGGGGCAGGGCCCCCTCACCCCCGCCCCTTCCCACGCTCCGACCCCGTCGCCCCCGCGCGCGCGCACACTCGCGAGCCCCGGCGACATGCAAATGAGGTACCCGAGAGGCGGGGGGCGCAGGCGGGGTGGGGGGTGCGGGGGTAGGGGAGGCCGGGCCGCGCGCTCCCGGAGCGCGCTTCCAACACCTGTTCCTGCTCCCGCGCTCGCGCCCGACCGCGCGCCGACCTCGCGCCCCGCGAAGCCGCCCGGGCGCGCGCGCGCAGACCCCCTTCCTGGCATCCCCCGCCGCCCGCGGCCCGGGCGCCGCTCATTGGCCACCGCCCCCGCAGGACCCGCCCCGCGCTTGGGCTTCGCAGCTCGGGGGCCGATGGGCTCGCCTGCACCGGGGCGAGGGGACCAGGAGGGTCGGGGGACCAGTCTCCCCCTTTCCACCGTTCCAGAGACCAGACCTCTAGACTAGGCCGCCCCGTGGGAGCGAACCATATGGAAAGGTGGTTGCGCCTCTCTGGACCACAGTCTAGGGTGCCGTTAAGTGGGGTGGAGGGGAGGTGCGGGGGGAGCACCTGCAGCACCTGCTTCCAGCTGCACCTGCGCCTCCCCTCCCCCTTCGTTACACTCCGGTGCCAGTATTTGAGTGGGCGCTGGGAAGATGGTGGTGGTGGCGTCGATGAAGTTCAGTGTTTACTATGCACCATGCGGTGTGCAAGGGGCATTTTAAAGCCCACTATCTCATTCGATTCTCCTGACAACCCTGGTTTATCCACTTTTCAGAGGAGGAAACTGCCTCAGAGAGGCAAAGTCATCGCTAGTTATAGGCAGAGCTGAGTTCAAACCCAGGACTGAGACCTCATCATGTCCCCTTTCCTCCTTGGGTCCATTTGTTCTCCATTCTCTGGGACATTGGGGTCAGCAAGACCTGTTTGCAGTTTTGGCCCTGCCATTTGCTGGAAGAGGAACTTAGGCAACTGACTTGACTTTCCCGTGCCTCAGTTTCCCCATCTGCAAAATGGCACAGATATGCCCTATTCAGACGGTTGATGTGAGGCTTAGCTGCTCCTGATAACAATGGCTAATGTGTCCTGAAAGCTTTTGTGTATGAACACTTTGTGGTATTATGCTCAAGGCATGTCTGGGCAAGTACATAGAACTATGTGTCCCATTTTGCAAAAGTCTTGATTAAGGCTTAGAGAGGTGAACACCTTGCCCAAGGCCAGGCAGAGAGTAAAGATTTGAACAAAGGATGTCTGACTCCAGGGCCCATGCCCTTAACATCGCGGATATATTTCCTCATCCAGGAATCAGGGTCAAATATCACCTGGGACCAGTCTTTTTGTTCCGGTCTAGAACCCCTTCCTCACATCTGCCAGTCAGCAGGGAAGGATGAGATCATTCGTAAGGTCTCTATGGCTCTGGAGTTTGATGGGCTCTCCGTTTCAAGGACCACAGTACTGCCCTGCACCCTCATTTGGACTCTATCTTGTCTAGAAGGTTTTTGTTTTTTGTTTTTGGAGACAGAGTCTTGTTCAGAGTCTTGCTCTGTAGTCAGGCTGGAGTGCAGTCTCTTGATCTCGGCTCACTGCAACTTCCACCTCCCGGGTTCAAGTGATTCTCCTGCCTCAGCCTCCCGAGTAGCTGGGTCTACAGGTGCGCGCCGCCAGGCCCAGCTAATTTTTGTATTTTTAGTAGAGACAGGGTTTCACCATGTTGGCCAGGATGGTCTTGAACTCCTGACCTTGTGATCCGCCCACCTCAGCTTCCCAAAGTGTTGGGATTACAGGCGTGAGCCACCGAGCTTGGCCAGAAGTGGTTTTTTTGTTTTTGGCTCATGTTGATCTTGAACTTTTAGATCCAGGAGGAGGGTTAGGGAGGCATGGGGATGCCTAGTGGAGCTCAGGGAAGTGCTTGTTTATCAGCTGATACAAGATCATCTCACCGTTTACCCACCGGCATAGCTAAAATTGTGTGTCTGGATGAATGTCAACTACGCCCTTGTCAAGAGATTTGGAGAGAGGGATGGGCGAGGTGTTGGGGGACACAGGGGTGCTCTAGACCCTGTGGGCACTGACTCTGCCCCTCTCTCCTCTTAGCTGGCTCCAGTGCCCAGACCCAAGCCCCCCACTGCTCAATGGACACCCCCAGCCCAGACCTGTTGCCTTCGCCTTTGCCCGGGGAGGAAGAGAAACCTCTGGCCTTACCTCCTCCTGTTCCCCGGGGCCGCCGAGGCCGTCGTCCTGGGGGAGCCACCTCCTCAAATCGGACGCTCAAGGCCTCACTCACTCGCAAGCGGGGCCGCCCCCCCAAGTCAGGGCAGGAGCCCCAGCTGGTGCAGGTGCAGGGGGTCACAGCCCCAGTGGGCAGCAGTGGCGGGAGCGACCTCCTCCTGATCGATGATCAGGGTGTGCCCTATACGGTCTCTGAAGGGTCAGTGGCTGGGTGTGAAGGCTCCGGCCCCAAGAAGGCCCCGCACTTCTGCCCGGTGTGCCTGCGGGCCTTCCCCTACCTCTCCGACCTGGAGCGCCACAGCATCTCGCACTCAGAGCTGAAGCCTCACCAGTGCAAGGATTGCGGCAAGACCTTCAAGCGCTCCAGCCATCTGCGGCGGCACTGCAACATCCATGCTGGCCTGCGGCCCTTCCGCTGCCCGCTGTGTCCCCGGCGCTTCCGCGAGGCAGGCGAACTGGCGCACCACCACCGCGTGCACTCGGGGGAGCGCCCGTACCAGTGCCCCGTCTGCCGGCTGCGCTTTACAGAGGCCAATACGCTCCGGCGCCATGCCAAGCGCAAGCACCCAGAGGCCATGGGGGTACCCCTGTGTGCATCAGACCCAGAGCCTGAACCATCGTGGGATGACGAGGGCATCCCGGGCACAGCAGGGGCTGAGGAGGAGGGGGAGACAGAGGGGAAGGGAGAACCGGCCTGACCCACATCCCCTGCCATCACTCCCTGGGCCAGGCTTAGATCAGGGAGTTTGGCTGGTGGTGGGCCTGGGCCAGGCGGCTGGGACACGCTTGTTTCTGATGGTCTTCCCGTTGTGGGAGCAGGTGGAGTGTGGACACCTAAACTTCTGGATCCAGCTGCCTTCTGCCCCCCTCCCCCAGACTAGCAGACCCTTGGAGGCAGGGGCTGTAGAAATAAATCTCTGCCTGCTGGCTGCCTGTGTGTGTTCCCTGCATGCCGTCCTCTCCTGCCTTCAAATGTTCTTCCTCGGCTACCCCGTCCTGCCCGGAGTACTGGAAATTGGAGAGGAAACCTCGACCTATGCCTCATGAGCGTGGTGCTCGCGGAAGAATGGTTTGCGGGGGAGCCTTGGTCCCTCTCCCGTCCCCATCAGACCCCAAAGTCCAGTGGTCCCTCGGTGTCCGTGGGGAATTGGTTCCACGACCCCCGCAGATACCAAGATCTGAGCATACTCAAGTCAAGCACTGGGCCCTGCGGAACCCGCGGATTTAGGAAAATTGGCCCTGCGTATACTGTATGTTCCATCGGTATTTGGGTGAAAAAAAGTCTGCCTCTCAGTGGACCTGCAGTTCAAACTCATGTTGTTCAAGGGTCAGCTGTATTCCCAATACACATCCAATCTAAAACATTGAACCTTCCATGAAAACCTGACCCTAGGTCCGACCCCCTCTATCCTAGCCAAATTCCTAGAAATTCTGCAGGCATTTTGCCCCAGCTCCTTGTCCTGAGAACCTACTCTTTGGAAGGAAAAATTGAGACGAAGGTGTGAGCAGGACTGACGGTCTGGGTAAGGTTTAGAGATAAGGGGTGTGGCTTAGGGCGGGGTTAAGGAGCTACGGGTGGGGCTGAGACAGCCGGGCAAGGCTTATTGGACAGTTAGGGAACTGGGAGGGTCTTAGGAGAAGGAGGTTAGAGTTGGCTGGAGCTTAAACAGGCCTAGGGGTTGGTCCGCAGAAAGTGACAGGTTTAGAGGAAATGTGATGGGGCTTATCTTCTAGAGAGTAGGGGCTTGGAGATGGGGAAGAACTGGAGGAACTGTGTGAGGGTGGGGCGAGGAGGAAGGATTATTATAAATATTTTTTGGGACAGGGTCTCGCTCTGTCACCCAGGCTGGAGTGCAGTGTGGCCTGATCACCGCACACTGCAGCCTCGACCTCCCAAGCTCAAACAACCCTCCCACTTCAGCCTCCGGAGTAGCTGAGACTACAGGCGCGTGCCAGCATACCTGATTAATTTTTATGTTTTTTTGTAGAGATGGGTTTTTGCCATATTGCCCAGGCTGGTCTTGAACTCTTGTGCTCAAGTAATCCGCCTGCCTTGGCCTCCCAAAGTGCTGGGATTACAGGCGTGAGCCACCACACCAGGCCAAGAGGACTGATTTTAAGGTGAGGGGCGGAGCTTATAATTATTCAGCTCTGAGGTGGACGTGGTTCAGGGCCAGGGGCCAGGGCTTAACGGGGAAACTTCTAGGGAACAGGGTATTAGGAGAGGTGAGACTTAGGAGACGGTGCTGAGGGGTGCGCACGACTGCTATGGAGGCTGTGGAGAAAGAAGTAAGTACCTCAGAGAGGAGTAACTAAGGAAAGTTCCTGGGAGAGGGGGAAGTTTAGCAAGAGGGGCTGAATGGGCCTGGGTTTGGCTGCTTGGGATGGGGCTGAGTTGGGAGCGGGGATTATAGAGATTATATGAGGCGGGCAGTGTCAAGTGTGGTAAAGCCATGGCTCGACCAGCATGCAGCAGAATCAGCAGAAGAGTATCTCAAAACACGCATCCCTAGACCCCACTCCCGGGGGCTTCTATTCTGCATGGTCTGAGCAGGCAGCCGGATACTGATATTGATGCTGCTGGCCTCCCAACTGTCCTTGACAACCATCGATTTAAAAACTGCTTTACAGGTGGGAGGTACTCAAAAGTCACGAGGTGCAGTTTATATGCTGTAGGGTGAAGGGGCGGAGCTTACATGCAAGGGGAGTGGTTCTGTATGGGGGCTGGGACGAAGGGAGCGTGGCTTAGGGATGGGTGAAGTTCCAGAGAGGAGCTTGGAGAGGGGGCAGAACAGGAGAAACTGCTTGAAGGCTAGGGGAGGAACACAGATTTTGAGACAGTGGGGTACTTAGAATTACGCTGAGATGGGCGTGGTTCAGGGCCAGGGGGTGGAGCTTCAGTGTGAGACCGGAGCTGGAGGTGTGGCTTAACCGGACGCCCAGAGCGTATAGGCGGTGCCCTGAAAAGAGGCCGGCACACAAAGCGCAGGCGCACCTGGCTCAGCTCGCCCACCGGAAGTGGCCGAGCTTTCGCTGCTCCCGTCCCCGAGTCAGTGCGCAAGCGCACTTCCCCCCTCCTGCTGCCCGCCACCGCCTTCTCTTTCCGATCCTCCACGCCGGCGCCTCGGGAACGGGAGCGACTTCCGCTTCCGGGCGGGCAGGCGGGCGGCGCGGGGCTGCTGGGGAGGGGGGGAAGGGGGCGGCACTTCCGGTCGGGCCCTCGGGTCTCCCCGGAGCGGCGGCGCCTCCTCCGCCTCCTTGGCCTCCTCCCGGCGGAGACCCCGGCGCCGGTGAGTGACGGGGTGCGTGGCCCGGGGGCCCGGGTGCAGCGTGGGCGGGGGGCCCCGCCCTGGCCGGCTCTGGTCCCCAGAGCGTCCCCCCACCCCTAGCAAGTCAGTGCAGCTCCCGCCCGGCCCTTGCCAGGGAACCCCCAATCACTGCTCCCCGTTAAGACCACTGCAGATAGCTCCCCCATGAACGCCCCCAGCTAGGATGACTGCCAAAGCGCTTTCATTCGTGGCGATCCCATAAACGGCTGCCAGGCTCCCCAACCGATACCTCCTCTTAGGATCCCCTCCACACAGCGCCCCCGTCATTGCTTCCTCAGGTCAGCCTCCAGATGCCATCAGCGTTGCCCCTCCCCGTGTCGGGCAGCTGCTCGTGGACCCTCTTCTTAAGTGTCCTCTATAGAATTTTCCCCAGAGTGTTGCCTTAGTGATTTGCAGCAGGACTGCCCTCCCCCCCCCGTTATCTCTGTTCATACACAGCAACAGCCCCCAATGGCCCTGACCACCTCCCCCTCCAGCTGAACGCCTTTTCGTGGGTGTGAAAATACTTTCTATTCTGGTCAGCACCAAGAATGCCTTTTTTCCTTCTGCAGATCCTCCAGTGATTCCCCTTAAGAATACATACCCCTTTCAAAGCCACCCCCCCACCTCGCGGCGGGACAGCTCCCTCTAGAGTTCTTTTACACCCACATCCTCTCCCCATTCAGGTAGAAATAATTTGCCTGCTTAGCTCCCGGCTCCCATGAAATACTCCTGTACCTCCTCTCACCCCACCCTCGTCATGGTCAGCCCCTGCCTTCATTATCTCTGCCACAGAAGTGTCCCGCAGTGAGGCCGCGAGGCCTTTCCTCCCAGGGTGTTACTCATCCTCTTTCCATGGCATGAACAACTCTTGCCCTGACCTGCAACTTCTTACCCAGCTCTCTGCCCTCGTCCTGGACTCTCTAGCTAGAGAAGACCCTTGACTTAACTAGGGTGTGACTTATTTCCTCTTAGGCATGCATTCTTCATTGAATGAACATTGGCCATTCTAGCTCAAGGGCACACAGCCATGAAGGGAAGAGGTGCCCAGCCTTCTCATTGTGCAGGGTTTTGCAGTCTAGTCGATCAGAAACAAGTCAACAAAGATATGTGGGGTTTTGTGGGTTCCCTCATAGCCTGATGAACTACTTTAGAAGTGAAACCTGAATTACAAGAGGCAGTTTAGCCATCCAGAGATCTGGGTGAACAGGCAGCAGGAACAGCAAGTGAGAAGTGCCTGATGTGGCTGTGACCATGGGGAGTGGGGGCACAGCAGGGGAGGCTGGTGAGAGTGGAGTGGAAGATTAGAAGGGAAGAACAAGAGAAAGGAAGGTTTGGTCTCAAAAGGCTTTGGAGGTGAGGGCACTGGGATACATTATCTAGCCTTTCTCAGCTCTACCAAGCCCAGAATGTTCTTCTTTCATTCATATGTTCATTCATAAACACTTGTTGAACACCTGTTTAATGGGCACCTACTTTACACTGGGGCTGCAACAGAGAACGAAATAGACAAGAATCCCTGTCCTCATAGAGTCGATATGCTTGTTGAGGGGACAGATGATTAAAACACAAAATACAGGCCAGGCGAAGTGGCTCATGCCTGTAATCCCACCAGTTGGGAAGGCCAATGTGGGAGGATCGCTGGAGGCCAGGAGCTCAAGACCAACCCCTGGCAACATAGACCCTGTCTTTACAGAAATAATAATAATAAAAAAGCTAGGTGTGGGTGATATGCACCTGCAGTCTCAGCTATTCAGGGTGCTGTGGTGGGAGGACTGCTTGAGTCCAGGAGTTCGAGGCTGCAGTGAAAAAAAATGAAAATAAAGACCAAGAGTATATTTGTGTGTTAAAAGTAAAATATCAGGGGATAGAGAGATGGAGATGGAGAGCAGAGTCATCAGGATGGCCTCTCCCAGGATATTCCTATGTCTTGTCATCTTGTCCTTCCCAAGACCCACACACCAAAAAATTGTACAAGGGTATCAATTCCCCTTCTCCCAGACAACTGTGGCCCACTGGGGGGCTGCTCTTAAAAGCTCCCCAGTCCCAGGAGTGAAGTGATTAGGAGGATGAGCCCTGGATTCGACTAGGATTCACAGCTTTGAGCACACCACTCCCTCCTTTCCTAGTCTCATTCATTCACTTCTTCAAACAAAAATGTATCAAGCCAGGAACTGTTGTAAGTCCCGGGGATAGAACATTGAGCAAGAGATAAAACTCCTTGCCTTTGCGAAGCCGATCTGGAAGGGGAGGCCAGCAAAATCAAGGCACAGAAGTCAACTATATAATGTTATAAATGAGGATGAGCAGGAAGGAGAGAAATGAATAGGGTAGGGGAGATCCGGATGTGGGCCTGGGTGACAGGTAACTGGTTACTGAGAGGCTAATTGAGAAGACAGCTGAGCAATGATGGGAAGGAGGTGAAAGGGTGAGCGAGGTGGATGCTTGAGAGTCAGAGTATTACAGGCAGAAGCAACAGCCAGTGCAAAGGCCCTGAGGCAGGAATGGAGTGGGCACATTGGAATAGCAGCCAGGAGACTGTGGGGACTGTGTAGGTCATTGTAAGGACTGTGGCTTTTGAGCAAGATGGGGTTACTGTTTGATTTTAGACAGAGGATGGACATGGTTTGGCTATAGTCCTCCTGTCAGTAAAATGGGAATAATATTAATACTTACAAGTTTGTTGTGAAGTTTGAATGAAACAAGCCACATAAGGTACCTAAGCACAATGTTTGTTAGAGTTCGGCAAATGTTGGTGACTTGTCCTGGTCTTGGGTCAAGCCAAGAGACTTGGGATTAGGTGGCAGGAAGGTGGGTGGAGCAATGCATGTATCCAGTATAAAGTGGGATGGGGATCCTCCTTCATTTTGGAGAGAGAAATATTGAAAGACAGCATGAGATGCACTCTGGAGCCTTGCTGCCTTTCTTCAACCACTGGTCCTGCCACGGGTTAACACTGTGACTTGGGAAGTTTGTTTATTGATTGATTGATTGAGACGGAGTCTTGCAGTGGGCTAGAGTGCAGTGGCACTATCTCAGCTCGCTGCATCCTCTGCCTTCCAGGTCCACACTATTCTTCTGCCTCAGCCTCCTGAGTAGCTGGGATTACAGGCGCACACCACCACACCAACTAATTTTTTGTATTTTTAGTAGAGATGGGGTTTCACTCTGTTGGCCAGACTGGCCTTGAACTCCTGACCTCATGATCTGCTCACCTCAGCCTCTTAAAAGTGCTGGGATCATAGGTGTGAACCCGGCCCTTATTTATTTTTGAGAGATGGAGTCTCACTCTGTTGCTCAGCCTGGGGTGCATGGAGTGAGCTCACTGCAACCTCTGCCTCCTGGGTTCAATCATTTGTCCTGCCGCAGCTTCCCAAGTAGCTGGAACTACAAGTGTTCACCACCAGGCCCAACTGATTTTTGTATTTTTAGTAGAGATGGGGTTTCACTATATGTTGGCAAGGCTGGTCTCGAACTTCTGACCTCAGGTGATCCACCCACCTCAGCCTCCGGAAGTGCTGGGATTACAGGCATGAGCCACACCCGGCCTGACTTTGGAAGTTTAATTTACATCTCTGGCTCTCAGTCTCTTCCTTTGTATTTCAGAGTCAATAATTGTAACCATCTCCTATGGTTAGTGGGAGGATTGGTTGAGTAAACACACATAACAGCTATAAGAGTACTGGGCTAGTAGAAAGCACTCATCCAGTGTCGTATGTCACTTTATGTTTGTTACTCTTATTAACAAACTAGAAGTTTGTCACAAGGCAGCTTTGTTGCAGCAGAACAGCCCATCATGCTTCTCTCCACATAAACCCTCCTATGACATCCCCACTTAAAGACACCAGTTTAGGCCTGGCCTGGTGGTTCAGGCCTGTAATCCCAGCACTTAGCACTTTGGGAGGCCGACGTGGGTGGATCACAAGGTCAGGAATTCAAGACCAGCCAGGCCAATGTGGTGAAACCCCGTCTCTACTAAAAATACAAAATTAGCTGGGCATGGTGACATGTGCCTGTAATCCCAGCTGCTCAGGAGCCTGAGGTAGGAGAATCGCTCAAACCCCAGAGGCGGAGGTTGCAGTGAGCTGGGGTGACAGAGAATACGCCATCTCAAAAAAAAAAAAACACCAGTTTGGGCTTGAGTCGTATGAAAGAGGAAACGTCTCTGGTTTCCTAGTGGAAATTATCATGAGCCTGATCAATTCTGTCCACCACTGATGTATCCCCTCCAGCATCTACACACCCTGCCATCAATGACCTTCCTTGTGACATCATTTCCCCAGGAATCCCTGGGATCACTGAGCTCCATTTCTGCTAAATGTCCCCCTCCGTTCCTCTGGGAGTTTGGTCAGCTTAGTCTCATCCTTTCATTCCACAAATATCACGATAGACATTGCCAGCTACACATTTCCCTCTGAGCACTGCTTTGGCTGCACCTCCTCAGTTTGGGCATGTTATGTTTTCAGTTTCATTAATTGCTAAGCATTTTCTCTTTTTTTGAGACAGAGTTTCGCTCTTGTCGCCCAGGCTGGAGTGCAGTGGCATGGTCTCAGCTCACTCCAACCTCTGCCTCCCAAGTTCAAGCGATTCTCCTGCCTCAGCTTCCCAAGCTGGGATTACAGGCATGTGCCACCACGCCTGGCTAATTTTTGTATTTTTTTTTTTTTTTTTTGAGACGGAGTTTCGCTCTTGTTACCCATGCTGGAGTGCAATGGCGCGATCTCGGCTCACCGCAACCTCCGCCTCCTGGGTTCAGGCAATTCTCCTGCCTCAGCCTCCTGAGTAGCTGGGACTACAGACACGCGCCACCATGCCCAGCTAATTTTTTGTAGTTTTAGTAGAGACGGGGTTTCACCACGTTGACCAGGATGGTCTCGATCTCTTGACCTTGTGATCCACCCGCCTCGGCCTCCCAAAGTGCTGGGATTACAGGCTTGAGCCACCGTGCCCGGCCCTAATTTTTGTATTTTTAGTAGAGACAGGGTTTTGCCATGTTGGCCAGGCTGGTCTTGAACTCCTGACCTCAGGTGATCCTCCTGCCTCAGCCTCCCAAAGTGCTGGGATTACAAGCGTGAGCCATTTTCTAATCATACATTAGAAAATGCCCAGCCAGCATTTTCTAATGTATGATTTCTTTGTGGACCCACTGGCGATTTAGGAAAGCGGTGTTTCATTTTCACAGATCAGTAAATATTTGTCAAGCACCCACACTGTGCCAGGTGCAATGCTAAGTGCTGGGGTCACAGAGGCGAGCTAGACAGGCCAAGTCCTTGCTTTCCTAGAGAGGGGCCAAACAGTAAACACACAGAAAAGGAGTATCAATAAGTTGCTGGTAATAACTATGATGAATAACCTACAGCTGATCAGGGGGCCAGAGAGTGATGGGGTGGGGAGTGCTGAATAGAGACCCAAGGAGGCTCCTGTGGGAGCCTTCTTGAAATCTGGGGAAGAACATTCCAGGCAGAGGAGAGCGTAACCACCACTGTCTCCTACCAGGCCCCTTGTATAGACACCCCTCATAGCCCAGAGGACACCTCTCAATGAAGCTCTTATCCTGATAGTTCCACCCTCACCTTCCTTCACTCTGGGAACAATCCCCGGTGAAACACTGCCATGGGGGCAGGGGTGGGAATGGGGTTCAAGCCCACTGATCTGGACTCTTACCCTGTGACTACTGGCAACTCACTTTACCTCTCCGTGCCTTCATTTTCTAATTTATCCAGTGGCGGTAACAGCTGCTCCTATTTCTTAGCTTCCAAGCTGTGGCACCCTAGGGCTGCTATGGCGCCTGGGGGCTGCTCAGCTGCTCCTATTTCTTAGAGTTGTGGGGAGTCAGTGAATTAATATGTGTAATGTGCTTAGAACAGTGGCTGGCCTCTAGGAAGTGCCCAATCAGTGGTAGCTGTGATTAATGTGTGCTCTGATGGAGGCAAGCTAGGTCAGTGGCTTCTTTCCCCAAACACTCTTCCCTCCCTCCCCATAGCACCCTAAGTCACCCCCTGCTCCCTGCATCCTTACAGCCTGCGCTTTCCTCCCTGTCCAGTCAGCCCCCTCCAGAGCTGTCTCCCCAACTTAGGTTCCGCCTACAGCCTTCCAATTACCACCCTAGCCATGCCTGTCCTCTTTCCAGAGATCAGATTAAACGGAGGGGGTGTGAAGGGCATGGGATGTTGAGTCTTGTCCAAGGACAAGGACACCCAGAGCTAGAGACTAAAAATATCTCACTCCAGGATGGCGTTTGGGGTGGAAGAGACACTCACCCCTTACCTGTGGGAGGAGAGAGCAGCCCGATGGATAGAGAATAAAGGGCCCAGGCCTGGGTAGGAATCCCCTTGACCCCTGCAGTGGTCTGGGCTTAGAGCCAGGCCCCCATCAGGTAGGGATGATGGACAGGAATCAGGTCAGACCTCACAGGCCCTTCTCCGACTGGCCCTGCACCCACTCTGGAGGTGTTTCCCCATGCCAGCGGGAAGAATAAGTTCAGAGATCAGTTACAGGAGCTGAGGTTCTGGTGTGGCGTGAGGTACCCACATGGATACCTGCAATCTGGAATGAAAAGTCGGCTAAAGGAGGCACCAGAGAATGATGCCAGGGTGGGGGGGTCAGGAGAAGCCCCACTAAGGGCAAGGACGGGAACTCAAGTCTGTTGCTAGGCCTAGCCCAGGTGTGTGGTGTCATGGATGGTACAGATACCTCAGGGGGTTGAATGCATTCTGCTGATGCGTGTGTTTCATTTCGTTCTGTTCCATTTCGTTCTGTTCCAACCCCCTTCAATCTCCCTGCAGTATAGGGTTCCCCCCAGTCCGATTTAAAACATGGAGAATGTGTGGATCCCAGTGGAGATGGGATTTGAACCCAGGTCTTTCCAAGCCCAAGGTCTGTGTGTTTTAATTGCATCAGGCCACCTTCTGACTACCCGTTGCAGTCCCGTTGCAGAATTTATTTATCCCAGGCAAGCAAATTCTCCTTTCCACTTTGTATTAGCATTAAAAGAGTGCATCTCCCAACACTGACTTCTTTTTCAGCTCTCTAGGCTTGTCCTGACTTCCTTATTTCTACTGCTAGTAGTAATAGTGATAACAGTATCATATCTTCTCTTTTTTAATTTTTAGAGCCGGGTCTTGCTCTGTCACCTGGGCTGGAGTGCAGTGTTGTGATCACAGCTCATTGCAGCCCCCATCTCCTGGGCTCAAGCAGTTCTGCTGTCTCAGCCTCCCAAAGTGCTGGGATTACAGGTGTGACCCACTGCACCCTGCTTTGATACCTTCTATGTACTGAGTGCTTACAGAGTGCCAGGAACTGCCCCCCTCAGAGCCTTACACTTATGAGCGTGATGAAGCCTCACAAACCTGTGAGGTAGGCAGGTGCTTTGTCATCCCCATTTGAAGATGAGGAAATGGAGGCACAGAAAGGTTCTGTCACCTGCCCATGGCCACACAGCTAGAAAGTGGCAGGGCTTACATTTGAACCTGGCAGTCTAGCCCCAGAGTCTTCTCTCCTAATCGTGCTGATAGAAACTCTTATTACCCTTAACATTATCCTCATTTTAAGAACAAACCTGAAGGGATGAGGACTGCAGGCTGGGGTGGGGGAGAGAGCAGGAGTATGCAGAGAAGCAGAGGGCCTGAGAGAGTTTGGAAAGAACCCAGTCCAGAAGCCCCCAGGGTGTTGGGAGAATTGGAGCCAGAAGGCGCCAGCTGGCTCACATCCATAATCCCAGCACTTTAGGAGGTGGAGGTGGGAGGATCACTTGAGTCCAGTAGTTTGAGACCAGCCTGGGCAACAAAGCAAGACCCTGTTTCCACAAATAATAGAGGGCCTGCAGGTGGTGTGGAGGAGAGGGTCTGGGGATGGCAGCAAAGCTGTCATGACCGCAGAAAAGACGGGAAGAGATGGAAGGAATTAGAGGGAAAAGAGAGATGGGAAGGAGGGTGGGAGTTGAGAACACACAGAGGGAAGGTGAAGGCAAATCGGAGAGGCTGGGGGCAGGATCTGAGAGGAAGGGCTGCCCTTCGGGGTGGACAGGCAGAGGGACTGGAAGCCTAAACCTGGCAGGTGAGGGGGTGATCCCCACCTAGATGGATGGGTGGGCGCACAGCTCCCTTCACCTGTGGGGAGACCCAGCGCCCCGGCCGTGTCCTCAGCCCCCTCCTCCTCTTCACAGGGTCTCGCATCTCCTACTTGCCGGAGATGGAGGCGAACCCAGTGGGCAGCGGAGGCGGGAGCAGCGGCCTTGGGGGCGAGGACGGGGTGCACTTCCAGAGCTACCCCTTCGACTTTCTGGAATTCCTCAACCACCAGCGCTTCGAGCCCATGGAACTGTATGGGGAACACGCCAAGGCAGTGGCGGCCCTGCCCTGTGCCCCCGGCCCCCCACCGCAGCCCCCGCCGCAGCCCCCGCCCCCGCAGTATGACTACCCGCCCCAGTCCACCTTCAAGCCCAAGGCGGAGGTGCCCTCCTCGTCCTCCTCATCCTCCTCTTCCTCCTCTTCATCTTCCTCGTCCTCATCTTCGTCCTCTTCCTCTTCTCAAGCCAAGAAGCCCGATCCACCCCTGCCGCCCGCCTTTGGGGCACCCCCTCCTCCCCTCTTTGACGCTGCTTTCCCCACCCCACAGTGGGGCATCGTGGACCTCTCCGGACATCAGCACTTGTTTGGGAACCTGAAGCGAGGAGGGCCTGCGTCCGGGCCAGGGGTGACACCCGGGCTGGGCGCTCCCGCGGGGGCCCCAGGGCCACTTCCCGCCCCCTCACAGACGCCGCCGGGACCCCCAGCGGCAGCGGCCTGCGACCCCACCAAGGATGACAAGGGCTACTTCCGGAGGCTGAAGTACCTGATGGAGCGGCGCTTCCCCTGCGGCGTGTGCCAGAAGTCCTTCAAGCAGTCCTCGCACCTGGTCCAGCACATGCTGGTGCACTCGGGAGAGCGGCCCTATGAGTGCGGCGTGTGCGGCCGCACCTACAACCACGTGTCAAGCCTCATCCGCCACCGCCGCTGCCACAAGGACGTGCCCCCTGCCGCAGGGGGCCCGCCCCAGCCTGGCCCCCAGCTCCCGCAGCTGGGCCTCCCGGCGCCCGCTGCCAGCACTGCAGCTGCTGCCGCTGCCCCCTCCACCGTGTCCTCGGGTCCTCCCGCCACGCCCACGGCTCCCGCCCCCTCCACAGATGGTAGTGCTGCCCCTGCTGGTGTTGGGGTGGCCCCTCCCGCCACCGGGGGTGGCGACGGCCCGTTCGCCTGCCCGCTCTGCTGGAAGGTTTTCAAGAAGCCCAGTCACCTGCACCAGCACCAGATCATCCACACAGGCGAGAAGCCCTTCTCCTGCTCCGTGTGCAGCAAGAGCTTCAACCGCAGGGAGAGCCTGAAGCGCCACGTGAAGACGCACTCCGCCGACCTGCTGCGCCTGCCCTGTGGCATCTGCGGAAAAGCCTTCCGCGACGCCTCCTACCTCCTCAAGCACCAGGCGGCCCATGCGGGCGCGGGGGGACCGCGGCCCGTGTACCCCTGCGACCTTTGTGGCAAGTCCTACTCTGCGCCGCAGAGCCTGCTCCGCCACAAGGCCGCCCACGCCCCGCCCGCTGCGGCCCCCGCCACCGAGGCACCAAAGGACGGGGCGGCCTCCGCTCCGCAGCCCCCGCCCACCTTTCCCCCAGGCCCGTATCTCCTGCCCCCTGATCCTCCCGCCACCGACAGTGAGAAGGCGGCAGCGGCAGCTGCAGCAGTGGTGTATGGTGCCATGCCCGTCCCGCTACTGGGTGCCCATCCGCTGCTGCTCGGCAGCGCGGGGACCAGTGGGGCGGGAGGCTCGGGCGCCAGCGTCCCGGGAAAGACGTTCTGCTGCGGCATCTGCGGGCGCGGCTTCGGGCGCCGCGAGACCCTGAAGCGCCATGAGCGCATCCATACGGGCGAGAAGCCCCACCAGTGCCCTGTGTGCGGGAAACGCTTCCGTGAATCCTTCCACTTGAGTAAGCACCACGTGGTGCACACGCGCGAGCGGCCATACAAGTGCGAGCTGTGCGGCAAGGTCTTCGGCTACCCTCAGAGCCTCACCCGCCACCGCCAGGTGCACCGGCTCCAGCTGCCCTGCGCCCTGGCTGGGGCCGCGGGTCTCCCCTCCACCCAGGGCGCACCGGGGGCCTGTGGGCCGGGGGCCTCGGGCGCATCCGCGGGGCCCGCCGATGGGCTGAGCTATGCCTGCTCGGACTGCGGCGAGCACTTCCCGGATCTCTTTCACGTCATGAGCCACAAGGAGGCCCACATGGCAGAGAAGCCATACGGCTGCGACGCCTGTGGCAAGACCTTCGGCTTCATCGAGAACCTCATGTGGCACAAGCTGGTCCACCAGGCCGCCCCTGAGCGCCTGCTCCCGCCCACACCCGGCGGCACACAGCCCCCAGACGGCCCCAGCGGCACGGATGCGGCCAGCGTGCTGGACAATGGGCTGGCAGGGGAGGTGGGGGCAGCTGTGGCGGCGCTAGCTGGGGTATCCGGAGGCGAGGACGCAGGCGGGGCCGCAGTGGCGGGGGCCGGCGGGGGTGCCAGTTCAGGCCCGGAGCGCTTCAGCTGTGCCACTTGCGGCCAGAGTTTCAAGCACTTCCTAGGTCTCGTGACTCACAAGTACGTGCACCTGGTGCGACGGACCCTGGGCTGCGGCCTCTGCGGCCAGAGCTTCGCGGGCGCCTACGACCTGCTCCTGCACCGCCGCAGCCATCGGCAGAAGCGGGGCTTCCGTTGCCCGGTGTGCGGGAAGCGCTTCTGGGAGGCGGCCTTGCTGATGCGCCACCAGCGCTGCCACACGGAACAGCGGCCGTATCGGTGCGGCGTGTGCGGCCGAGGCTTTCTGCGCTCCTGGTACCTGCGGCAGCACCGCGTGGTGCACACTGGCGAGCGGGCCTTCAAGTGTGGCGTGTGCGCCAAGCGCTTCGCGCAGTCTTCCAGCCTGGCCGAGCACCGGCGGCTGCACGCGGTGGCCCGGCCCCAGCGCTGCAGTGCCTGCGGCAAGACCTTCCGCTACCGCTCCAACCTGCTGGAGCACCAACGGCTGCACCTGGGCGAGCGCGCCTACCGCTGCGAGCACTGCGGCAAGGGCTTCTTCTATCTGAGCTCGGTGCTGCGCCACCAGCGCGCCCACGAGCCGCCGCGGCCCGAGCTCCGCTGCCCCGCCTGCCTCAAGGCCTTCAAGGATCCTGGCTACTTCCGTAAGCACCTGGCTGCCCACCAGGGCGGCCGGCCCTTCCGCTGCTCCTCCTGCGGCGAGGGCTTCGCCAACACCTACGGCCTCAAGAAACACCGTCTGGCGCACAAGGCAGAGAACCTCGGGGGTCCTGGAGCAGGGGTTGCCACCTTGGCCGGGAAGGATGCCTGACCGAGGGCTTCCCATCCCACGCCCATCAGAAGCCCCCTTCTGGACTCCCTCCTCCCAGGGCTCATCAGACTCTTCCCCCCACCCTCGCTGTTGCCCGCTCCTTCAGAACTTCCGACGGACTGGCGACCTTCAGGCGCACGCCCGACAGGCTCAAGACTGAATCACTCCCATCTTCGACCTCTCCGCCCTCTCATCCCATCAGATACTGAACCCGATCCTCCGTCCAACCCTCTCTTGTGACCCTCGTCAGCCCCCGCCCCAGCAACGCTCTGCCCCAGTAAACTTTGGCGGAGATGGGTCGGAACAGCCCCTCCCCGTCCTTTGAAATCTGGCTGGACAGTGGAGTATGAGCAGAGTTGGGAGGGCACAAGGGGGTGCTGGGTGCTCTTTGGGGTGGGCGGGTGGGAGTCGGGGTGGCAGACGCGGCTTGTACAAAGCGGAGAATAATAAACCTTATCATGAGGGCCGTTGGAGTCCATTCTTGCATGCCACCCAGGGAGAGTGGGGATTACATGGTGGCAAAGCACAAAGTTAAAACTTGTTTCCTCTGCAATTTTGATTCCGGGCGTCTCTGGCTCTCACTCACTCTCATTCAATGGGGACTTACTGAGGATTTGCCGTATTCCCAGCTTAGTCTATGAGCTGAGCAAATGGAGATGGACAAGACAGGTAAGTGTCTGCTCTCGGGAACTGACTTAACATGCCCGGTCTCCTCCCCTTGCTGATGCTTTCAGCTTTTGTTCACTCCGCCAGCACTTTCGGAGGCCTCCTGCCTGCCCGGCCCTGAGCTGGGCACTGGGGAAACAGATGCACTGGACATGGCTCTGGGTCTCAAATAAGACGAAGAGAACTCCCGTCCAGCTGCTGCAGCTGCCTCACACCGTGTGCAGACTAGTGGTCATGATATAGCTCCCTCTTAGCACCTGCCCTCCAGGATGATTGGGACGTTCAAAAGCCCATTCCCAGCTCTCATGCTGGTGCGGGGAACATTGAGATGTATGCCGGGCACTGTGTGTTTAGTTATTTCATTTGTTAGAAGAGGGACCTGGGGTCCTGAAGCACAAAGACCCTCTAGGGACATCTTCAAATTTCACAGTAGAATTTGGACTCCAGGCCAGGCATGGTGGTTCACACTTGTAATCCCAGCACTTTGGGAAGCTGAGATGGGTGGATCATTTGAAGCCAGGAGTTCGAGACCAGTCTGGCCAAAGTGGTGAAACCCCGTCTCTACTAAAAATACAAAACTTAGGCGGGCACCAGTAATCCCAGCTACTCAAAAGGCAGAGGCAGGAGGATTGCTTGAACCTGGGAGGCAGAGGTTGCAGTGAGCTGAGATGGAGGCACTGCACTCCAGCCTGGGTGACAGATGGAGACACTATCTCAAAAAAAAACAAAAAGAAAAAAAAATTTGGACTCCAGTCCCAGGGTACTTCAGTACAGACATTTGTAGATGAGACCTGGAACGGTGGCTCACACCTGTAATCCCAGAACTTTGGGAGGCTAAGGCAAGCAGATCACCTGAGGTCAGGAAATTGAGACCAACCTGGCCAACATGGCAAAACACCATATCTACTAAAAGTACAAAAATTAGCCAGGCATAGTGGTGGGCACCTGTAATTCCAGCTACTCAAGAGGCCAAGGCAGGAGAATTGCTTGAACCTGGGAGGCGGAGGTTGCAGTGAGCCAAAATTGCACCACTGTGCTCCAGCCTGGATGACAAGAACAAGACTCCAACTAAAAAAAAAAACAAAAAACAAAAAAAACCTTGAAGCTAAAACTAGGTAAGAGAGCATGCCTGGGTGAGTCCTGTGTGACCCATGAGAGGGCAGCTACCCCTTGTGGCTGCATGTTCTAATGCTGAAGACCCAGCATAAGACAGACATTGTGCCAGTGCCCCCAGGGTTCAGGGTTTGGCAGCAATGTGGAAATGGAGTCTCACAATGTAAAGGACATGGAAGTATCACTGGGGGTTGAGCCAGCACAGAGAAGTGACCTTGCCAGAGTGGAAGGGGGGCTAGAAAAGCTTCTTGGGGAGAAGGTGATCCCTGAACAATGACATAAACCAACTGGAGTTTGCCAGGTAAAGAAGTGGCAACAATTGCCAGGCAGAGAGTGCAGCGTGTTGAACTAACTCCTGCTATTCTGGAGAATTTAAAACAGATTAGCATGGCTGAAGGTTGAGTTCTTGGAGGCTAAACCCTCAAGGGTCTTGAATTCCAAACGGTGGGGCTTGGGTGATTTTATAGACTAGAGGTTGGATACTGGCAGCTGCAAGGCCGAATATGACCAACACATTTTTGTTTATGCACTTTTAAAAAGGTCTTACTTAACTGCCAACTTTGGGAAATCAAAAGATTTTATGTAATGTGAACTAATGGAACTTCTGAAAGAGACAAATTAGCAACCTCGTCTGCATTCCAGAGCTGAGCAGCCGTTACCCTCTTCTGATGGGACACTCTCCAATTTGTTGAATCCCAACTCAGACCTGGTGGCAGTCCCCATATTTCATGTCACTGGTAATTTCTCCCTGAACCTGGCTGCCTTGTTCATGTGTTTACATTGCCACCCAGCTCCTGTAGGCATTCACATTTTCAAACCCTTCTCAAAGACACAAGGGCCTGGTGACAAGGATCTGTGTGGCTGCCATATGGAGGAAGAAGAGGACAGGTGGCTGGGCGTGGTGGCTCACGCCTGTAATCCCAGCACTTTGGGAGGCCTAGGAGGGTGGATCACCTGAGGTCAGGAGTTTGAGACCAGCTGGCCAACATGGTGAAACTCTTATCTCTACTAAAAATTTAAAAATTAGCTGGGCGTGGTGGCGGGCACCTGTAATCCCAGCTACTCGGGAGGCTGAGGCAGAAGAATTGCTTGAATTCAGGAGGCAGAGGTTGCAATGAGCTGATATTGCACCATTGGACTCCAGCCTGGGTGACAACAGCAAAACTCCATCTCAAAAAAAAAAAAAAAAGAAAGAAAGAGAAAGAGGGCAGTCCTGGGCGGGGAGCTGGGCTGCCATGCAGTTGTCTGTGTGTGAGACCACTGTTAGCTTGGTCTGCAAGTGCAGTGATGGTGAAAAGACATTCCAATTCCAAAGATATTTAACTGGCTCAATTGAGGGAAACTGATACGAGACTGGACACAAGGATGAGGGATGACAAAGGTTTAAACCTGCCCAGGTATACAGCTTGGGTGGTGGTGGTGCCAATGACATCAGAAGCATAGAGGTTTCTTTGAGGAAAATGGAATGAGTTCTGTTTACATTGTGAGTTGCCTATGAGTTATCTCATGGGGTGCACTGGGTGAAGAGAAAGGTGTGCAAATCAGAGACTCTCACTCAACTAGCATGCAAAGCACAGGACGTCCCTTCACTTTGCCCAACTTCCCTGACCCCCTTCTCCTACAGCTGAAGCACATAACACATAACCACACAGTGGGGCCTATTCACCCCCACCCCATTCTAAGGATGGGGAAACAGAATCCTGGAGGAAGGTATGATGCGACTCACTGCTGGTGGTGAGACCACAGTGTGGCCCCTCCTCCCCAAAGTGGACAATCTGAATACAAGACTGAGAGAGAAGCCCTTCACAATGTCCTTTAATAGGAACAGAACTGGAAGTTTCACACCTCCAGCTCCCAAGTCCTCCTCTGGCCCCTGCCACAGTGACTTCTTTGCTCCACACCCCGACCAGCCAGCCATGCTGCTGTCATGCCGTCACCCAGCCCTTCCTTGGGACTGCCTGGGACTATGGGGTAAGCTGTTTGCTTCCAGCTGGGAGTGGAGGAAATGAGGGAAACCTGGGGCTACCTTGTAGCTTGGGGGGGACCATGGGCTCTGAGCTTAAAGCTTTAGGAGGAGATGCTAGGTAGCTGCTTACTTTATGTGCTCTCAGTTGCCTCCAAAGAAGAATGGATGGGTTAAGCCCAGGCCACCATGGGGGTGAGGGGGAGTAGCCGCTCTTGGAGTCAAGATCCTATGGTCAGGCTTACATCCTTGAGGCTCAATCTCAGCTGTGACTTGGGGACCCTCTGGCTTTGAGGTGATGGGATCCCAGAGTCTCTTCACAGACAACCTGGTGGGTGTCTTCTGCCTGAGGGTGGGTAGGCATCCCAGGTCCAGTGCAGTGCAGTGAGGTAGGCAAGAGACTCCATCCTGGTCCACCCAAGGAGCCCCACCAGAGTCCACGGTTCGGTTGAGGGAGGACCAGAGCAGAAAACCATGGTGGACCCCAATTCCCCCGTTCCATTGGATCCGGACTACCCTTCTGAAGTGCCCAGGCTCTGCCGCGACAGGCTGGGTCTTGCACAAGGACAAGCCAACGAAGAAGCCATCAGAGCAGCGACATCCAGCCTGTGGGCCTTGCCTGTGGCCGCACACCTGTGGAGCTGCACCTGTCCCTCTCCTAGGTCTGGCAGAGGTGCTGCGTGGGCTTGTGGGAGTCTGGAGCACGGTCATCTGCCTCTGCTCTCCATCGCCAGCAGCTCACAGCGATCCCTATAGCTGTCATCTCTCCCCTAATCACCTCTCCTCCGTCCCCTGCCTCCGTTTTCCCACCCCCACCCCCTGGACCGGCCTCCTAAGTCCTCCTCAGCTAACCCATGTCCCTGGTCTGCAGCCTACTGGTCGGCCTCCACCTTCATCTTCGCGGTCTCCCCCCGGCCCTCTTCCGCGGGGTCCCCTGCCCCGCACCCACTCCCCAACACCTCAGCCGCCGCCGAGCCCAGCTGGCCCCCAGAGTCTCCCAGCCCAGGCCCCGGCCCGTGGAAGAAGTGGGTGCGCTGGTGCTTGCGGAAGTTGGAGGAGTTGTTGAAGGTGCGGTCGCAGAGCGTGCAGCGGAACGGGCGCTCGCCCGTGTGGATGCGGGCGTGGCCGCTCAGCACCGAGGACTGCGTGAAGCCCTTGCCGCAGATGCCACAGTGGTAGGGCCGCTCGCCCGTGTGCACGCGCTCATGGTCTCGCATGTCTGAGGAGCGGCGGAATGGCTTGGCGCAGAACCTACAGGCGAAAGGCTTCCCCACCGCCGCGCCCGCCGCTGCCGCCGCCATCACCACCTCCGCCCTCTCCGGGGCCACCCCGGGCCTCTGTTCTGCTGTGGCCACCGCGTCCGGAGGCCTCCGGGAGGTGCCCGGCTCCACCCCGTGCCGGTGCTGGTGCCGGAGCAGGGGTGCCAAGGCCTTGAAGGCCCGTGGGCAGAGCGCGCAACGGTAGGGCCGCTCCCCGGTGTGCAGGCTGTAGTGCGCGCGCAGGCTGGCGGGGCCCGGGCAGCTGTGGCCACACACGTGGCACCGGCTGGGGTCCCCGCCCTGCCCGCTTCCCTCGGCCCCAGCCAGGTGGCCATGTTCGTGGAACAGCAGCTCGGAAACCAGCCGGAAGGCAGCAGGGCACAAGGCACAGTGGAAAGAACCTGGCTCCGGGGGCTCGGGGACCAGCGTGGTGTCTGTCACCTTCACCACCTGGATCTCGATGAGGTCACTCGGGGGTGTGCCAGGGCGGCTGTCATCAGGCACCAGGACCTGGGCAAGGGGAGAAAAAGAGAAGCCTGTGGACCCTGCCTCAAGACCTCCCCAGCACATCCCAATTATTAAAGCTTCGGCTTCTTTGTTATTTTGAGACAGGGTCTCACTCTGTTTCAATCATGGCCTTTGCAGCCTTGAGCTCCTGGGCTGAAGTGATCCTCCCACTTCAGCTCCCTGAGTAGCTGGGACTACCTGCACCACCACACCCAGCTAATTTTAAAAAAAATTGTTTCTGCCACAGAGTGGTGTCTCAGGCCTGTAATCCCAGCACTTTGGAAGGCCAAGGCAGGTGGATCACTTGAGGTTAGAAGTTCGAAACCAGCCTGGCCAACATGTCGAAACCCTGTCTCTACTACATATGCAAAACTTAGCCAGGTGTTGTGGCGGGCACCTGTAATCCCAGCTACTTGGGGACTGAGACAGGAAAATTGCTTGAACCCGGGGGGGGTGGAGGTAGCAGTGAGATGAGATGGCACCACTGCACTCCAGCTCAGGCCGCAGGACAAGACACCACCTCAAACAACAATAACAAAAGATTTAGTGTTTGTTTGTTTTAAAGTAGAGGGTGTCCCACTACGTTGCCCAGGCTGGTCTCCAACTACTGGGCTCAAGAGATCCTTCTGCCAGAGTGTTGGGATTGCAGGCGTGAGCCACTGCGCCAGACCCATCCTCCAGGATTCTGTTGTGGTCTTATCAACATTTCCTCTCCTGTCCCAAATAAATCATAGATCCCACCTTTTCTCCTCCACCCTAGTTAAAGCCCCATCACCTGGCGCCTCCACAATTGAAAAACACAAGGAGATCTCTTTTCCTACTTCTGCTGCCTTGTAACCCATCTCCCTAGAATAGCCTGCAGGTCTTTTGAAAATGTAAATCAGATCAAGTCATTTTTCGTACTCAAAACACTCCTATGGCTCCAAATGTACTTATCCTAAATCGTCACTATAATATCTGCGGAGATGTAGCTCCACTTATCTCTCTGACCCCAGCTTAAACATAAGCCGGCACCCAGCTGACTTCCCTCATCTAAATTTAGCTCCCCACCCCCACTCTAATGGCTCCATTTTTATTTCCTTTATAGAACATATCACCATAACTCATTTACTGTCTCTCTCCTCTCAAGAGACTGCAAGCTCCAAGGGAACACAGCCCTTGTCTGTCTTGGTCACTTCTCTATTTACAGAGCCCAAGAAGGAGCTAGATAAATGTTTGTTGAATGAATGAATATCCTCTGCGGCTCTCTAATTCCGAGTGAGGGAACGTGGAGGAAGTTCCAAAGTCACCTAGACCACTCACTTCTACCCTCAATTCCTCCCTTGGGCATTGGACCCTTGCAGAATTATCCCCAACCCCAACATAGAGATTCCCATCATAATCCCCTACACCTTTCAGGGTCACCTTTCCAACCTTCTACTGTAGAATTGGCCATAGAATTTATGACGCCCCGCCCCTCACAAGGCTCCACCCCAGTTATGCAAATTGCCCCTGGTAAACCCTGTTCCCTGAACCCATACCCGCCGGACAGACAACACCGTTCTCCGACTCCTCTCCATTCAGGCCCCGCCCACTGTCTCATAGGCCCCTCCCAACGCCCCGCCCACTGTCTCATAGGCTCCTCCCCTGTCCCGCCCCTTGCGTAATCCCCAAGAAGCCCCACCCCCAGGGCCATAGCACTAAACACCTCCCCCGCCCACCCCTCATAGGCCCCGCCCCGGCCCCGCCCCCTACACTACGACTTCCTCCCATCTCAAGCCCCAGGCCCAGGCCCCTTCCTCGCCCGCACCAGGTCCGGTGGCTCCTGAGATCGCGACTCCGGGGTCGGTGAGCTCGGACTCTGGGGCTCCGGGCGCGCAGCGGCCATCTTGTGCCCAAGCCCCGCCCCCGAGGCCAGTGTTCGCTTTGGAAGGGGGTGAGGCTCCAACTGGCGTAAGAGCTACTGCGCAGGCGCACTGTGGGGCGGCGAGCCGGCGTGGCGTGGCGTGGCGTGGCGTGGCGTGGCGTGGCGTGGCGTGGCGTGGCGTGGCGTGGCGTGGCGTGGCGTGGCGTGGCGTGGCGTGGCGGCTGTGTCCGGGAGAAAGTGAGTTGTTCCCTCGCTAGTTACCTGTTGGTCCCTCCTAGGGGACGCTCTGTGTGGCGCTGGGATGCCTGTAACACCCTGGAAACAAATCCGAACGTTCCTTCACCAACATAGGCCGACTCGAGGCCCTAGCAGTCAGGGGAACCTCAGTAGAACTGAAGAAGCTTTGCTTTGTTTCCACAGTAAACGTTTTTGTGGTTACCTCCGCACTGCTCATGATAACGTAATGACGCCAAGTTTATGCATGTAAGGATTTTTTAAATGTCGCTGTAGGGCGGGTGCGGTGGCTTCTGCCTGTATTCTCAGCTATTCGGGAGGCTGAGATGGGAGGATGGCGTGAGGACAGGAGGTCGAGGCTGTAGTGAGCTATGATCTCGCCACTGCATCCACCTGAGCGACAGAGAGAGACTCTGTCAAAAAAAAAAAAAAAAAAAAAAAAAAAAAGGCAGTGTAGAGAAAAATACTCAGTAAACAGCAACACGGGTAGTCCTGGGAGGGTGCAAAAAACGGCAAGCTGATGTTATGTTAGGGAGGAAAGAGCTCAAAGACGCAGGGTTTTCGGCAGCACCAAGGACAGGGCTCTTCTGAGCTGCCCAGTTTAGTCATTCCCGGCTGGGTCACCTTAGATAAGTCACCCCACTTCTCTGGACCATTTCTCTTTCTTTTGTATACAGTTGTAGAACATTGCGACAACCCACTGAGAAGAGATATGGGAGAGTTTGGAAATATCTTTAAATCGTTTTCCTGAAAGGGCAGGATAGGAGATACTTAAACATGATCCTAATCATGATCCTTTCATTCATAAATATATGTGAAAATTATATGATATATTGGCATAAAATAAAATAAACACCACTTAGGCTAAATTATCTCCTCCTCCTCTTCCTTCTTCTTCTTCTTCTTCTTTTTTTTTTTTTTTTTTTTTTTTTTTTTTTTTTTTGAGGGAGTTTCGCTCTCCTTACCCAGGCTGGAGTGCAATGGCACGATCTCGGCTCACCGCAACCTCTGCCTCCTGGGTTCAGACAATTCTCCTGCCTCAGCCTCCTGAGTAGCTGGGATTACAGGCATGCGCCACCATGCCCAGCTAATGTTTTGTATTTTTAGTAGAGACGGGGTTTCACCGTGTTGACCAGGATGGTCTCGATCTCTTGACCTCGTGATCCACCCGCCTCGGCCTCCCAAAGTGCTGGGATTACAGGCTTGAGCCACCGCGCCCGGCCTTCTTTCTTCTTCTTTTATAGAGATGGGGGTCTTGCTGTTTTGCCCAGGCTGGTCTTGAACACTTTGCCTTAAGCAATCCTTCTGCTTTGGGTTTCCAAAGCTATATTCCTCTTTCTTTTCTTTCGATTTTAAAATTAATTTTTTAATTTTTTAGGTTACTAAGAGTATCACGGGCCCTAGGCACTGTATCTGCTACTGTATTTAATGCACAAATCAGCCCTTTTTGCCCGTTTCCTAATTTGCAAAATGAGGATGATAATAAAACCTAATTCACACAGTTGCTATGATGATAAAAGAAGTCATTACATGTAAAGTATTTTGGACACTGTATGGCACACAGTAGGTGCTATGAGTTAGCTATAATCATTATTACCAACTGACACTCCAACTAGCAATTAATGGGGACCTCTGTTGCTTAACATTCTTATCAGTATCTGATAGTCAAACTTTAACATGTTCGATAATCTCTTGGGTATGAAATCTCTTCTTTCCTTTTCTTCTTTCTCCTTCCTTCCTTCCTTCCTTCCTTCCTTCCTTCCTTCCTTCCTTCCTTTCGTCTCTTTCTTTCTCTCTCTCTCTCTCTCTTTCTTTCTTTCAGCTGGACAGTGATAGCGTCATCTCAGCTCACTGCAACCTCTGCCTCCCAGGTTCAAGTGAATCTCCTGCCTCAGCTTCCCAAGTAGCTGGTACTACAGGCATAACATGTCATTACATTATCACGAGTGGTGCAGAGGTAACCACAAAAACCTTTACTGTGGAAACAAAGCAAAGCCTCTTGAGTTCTACGAAGGTTCCGCTGACTGCTAAAGCCTCAAGTTGGCCTGCGTTGGTTTAGAAGGAACGTTTGGATTTGTTCCCAGGCTGTTCCAGCCAACCTAATTTTTGTATTTTTTTAGTAGAGATGAAGTTTCACTATATGTTGGCCAGGCAGGTCTCGAACTCCTAACCTCAGTTGAACCTCCCACCTTGGCCTCCCAAAAGTGCTGGGATTACCGGCACAAGCCACTGCGGCTGGCCTATTTCTTATTGAGAATCTCTTTGTTAAATGAGATCATTCATAGCACACAGAACTCATCCCCCAGTCTTCCTTTTTTGAGAGCTGGAAGTGAGTCATCTCTGCATCCCTACAGAGAAGGCATGTATATGCCTCAGTGAATGTTTGGTAAATGAATGACTGAGAGATTGAATTAATGTGGGTAGAAGAATTTTGTACCAGAGCTTAAGGCTACTAAATATTTTTGTTCCCTTTTTTTTCTCCCATTCCCACTAAAGCTATTAAATAGTCACAGAAGAGAGCACTGTTTAGTGGAATTACCATAAGCTTTCAAATCAGGCAAACCTGGGTCCAGATCCGTGTATCCGCTTGCTGCACAACTCTGGGCAAGCGATGTCCCCTCTATGTGTCTAGTTGACATCTACAAAGTGGGCACCATAATGCCATTTGGCAGGGCTGTAGTTAGAATGCCACAGGTTGAGAATGCCAAAGGTCTATGTCATGCCTGGAGTCAACTGGTGCTCAATAAATGTGGGTTCTTGCTGGATGCAGTGGCCCCGTCTCTACTAAAAATACAAAAATTAACAGCCCTAGTGTTGTGCCCCTGTAGTCCCAGCTACCTGGGGAGCTGAGGCAGGAGGAGTGCTTGAGCTTGGGAAGTTGAAGCTGCAGTGAGCTGAGATCACACCACTGCACTCTGGCCTGGATGACAAAGTGAGAGACCCTGTCTCAAAAAATAAATAAACATAAAATAAATAAATATAAACTTTAAAAATAAATGTGGGTTTCTTGCCTTTTCACCTGTTGTCTGGCTTCTGAGTCCCTCGGTGCCAGCATAACACTAACAGTCTATTGTATGACTTGAGGCCAGAAGTCCCGACACATGGAGCCATCAGAAAATGGCTGCTGGGCACGGTGGCTCAAGCCTGCAATCCCAGCACTTTGGGAGGCTGAGGTGGGCAGATCACAAGGTCAGGAGTTCGAGACCAGCCTGGCCAACACGGTGAAACCCCCGTCTCTACTGAAAGTACAAAAAAAATTGAGATAGGTGTGGTGGCAGGCACCTGTAATCCCAGCTACTCGGGATGCTGAGGCAGGAGACATGCTTAAACTGGGAGGTGGAGGTTGCAGTGAGCCAAGATCACACCACTGCATTACAGCCTGGGCAACAGGGTGAGACTCATCTCAAAAAAAAAAAAAAAAAAAAAAAAAAGAGAGAAAGAGAAAGAAAAAAAAGGAAATGGCAGAAAGTCTTGAACTTGGAATCAGAAGATTTGTCTCACTTCTTTCTGTCTCTACCTTCCTGTAAAACCTGAGCACATTACTTCTCCTCACTGAGCCTAGATTTCCTGCCTTTTAAAAGAAATTGGCTAATAGAGTTAGCTTAATGGCTCTGCAATTCCTCTCCCTTTCATTTTTCTATGTACCCAAGAAAAATGAAAATATACATTCACACAAAAACTTGGAAACAAATGCTTATATAGCAGTATTATTCATAATAGTAAAAAAGCAGAAACAACCCAAATGCCCATAAACATAAACAAAATGTGATATATCCATACAGTGGAATGTTATTTGGCTATAAATAAATAAATAAAATACTGATGCTTGCTACAACAAGTATCAGTTGGATGGATGAATCTTTAAAGCCTCCTTCTAACTTAGAGGCAGGGAAGGGTGTGTGGTGGGAGGGGGGATGAATGAAGGTTGGTTAATGGGTACCAACATACAGTTATATAGAAGACATACTTTTTTTTTTTTTTTTTTAAAGGAGTTTCACTCTTGTTGCCCAGGCTGGAGTGCAATGGCGAAATCTTGGCTCACTGCAACCTCTGCCTCTTGGGTTCAAGCCATTCTCCTGACTCAGCCTCCCAAGCAGCTGAGATTACCAGTGCCCACCACCACACCCAGCTAAAGTTTTTTGTATTTTCAGTCGAGACCAGGTTTCACCACGTTGGCCAGGCTGGTCTTGAACTCCTGACCTCAGGTGATCCACCTGCCTTGGTCTCCCAAAGTGCTGGAATTACAGGCAATGAGCCACTCTGCCCAGCCTCTTTGTGTTTTTTTTTTTGAGACGGAGTCTCACTCTGTTGCCAGGCTGGAGTGCAGTGAGCTGAGATTGTGTCACTGCCCCCACCTCCTGGGTTCAAGTGATTCTCCTGGCTCAGCCTCCCGAGTAGCTGGGATTACAGGCATGCGCCACCACATGGGCCCGGCTAATATTTTTTTTTAGTAGAGACAGGGTTTTACCATGTTGGCCAGGCTTGTCTCGAACTCCTGACCTCAGGTGATCCACCTGCCTTGGCCTCTTAAAGTGATGGGATTACAGGCCTTCCACAGCTGTATGATACTTTCCTCCCTACATCCTTCGGTCTGTTCACACCACAACAGTTTACAGTTTAAGAAAGTTTTGTTTCAGATAGATTCACGACAGTTGTAGTTTCAGTATTGTCAAGTTTAGGAAAATCATAATCACGTTTCTTTCAGGTATGAA